ACGGGATGTGGTGGAGATTCGCGAGCTAGCAGTGAAACTCATGCTCCCCATCCTGCTCTGACTCACGCGCGCTATTTCGTGCCCCAGGAACGGGGGGGGCCATGCTGCGTCTCCCAGTCGCGCACCGTGCCCTGGCGCGCGCGCGCGCCCGTTCTCGAAACGGGCCCGCGACGAGGCCGATGGGGCGGTGTCCTGGACCTTCTGCCTGTGCCGCGAACAATGAGTGTAGGCCACGTCTCAAGCATCTCCGGGTCATTTTCCCGAGCCGCTAGCGCACCGCGCAGCCGGACATGAGAGAACTCGGGCCGGAACAGACAACTTCTGGGGTTAAAACGCCATCAGGTCCCAAGCCAACATCGCGCCTGGATTTCTGGCGGGCGGTCCTTAGCAGCTCCACCGTGGGCGGTGGCAACGTTTTTCTGGTGGCCATTCTCATCTGGGCACCCGTCGCGTTCGATTGCGCGTCGTGCCAATGCCAACTCCAATCCGTCAAAAGGTGTTGGACTGCTCCGCCCTCTTGCAGCGGAAGGCCATTGCTGGCCACTGGTGAAGAGAACGGCGCGGCTGCCTCGGCATGTCCGCGCCCCGCCTTGCCGCCTCTCGAAATGGCATTTCTGGCCCGCGCCCGCTGTTGTGAAGCGCGTTGGGTCTCTTTGTTGGTGGCATTGATGACGGCCTGTAGCTCGTCGCCTCCTGAGGCCGCTGCAGATAATATGATGAACGCCTATCCAACGGCCTGAAGGTCGGGCCCAAATGTGGTCGGATCTTTCTGCTGGATGGCCCTACGAAGTCTTTCGAGGGTGTCCCAGAATGTGAAGATCTTGGGTCATGCCCAAAGTCCTTGGGCCCTGTGAACCAGATGCTGAACTGTTTCCCATGCCCAGGCCGAGGGAGATGCCCCTTCCTCCGAGCATCGCTGCAGGAGGGTTTGCAACTGATTGTCTCGCCTACGAAGCCCGCCATCACGCCAGCGATGCAGGGCGTCTCCTCCGTCGCAGAAGTCGAACTGGCGCCGCAGCTCGCCCTTCATCTTGCGACGCCACTCCCCCCTGAGGTCCGAGGCCCCGATCCTCGATCCTGCCAATATCCCCAGGCCGCTGGCGCTCCGCGGGCTGGCCGAGGCGCCCGGCGGACGCCCCGGCGAGGGCAGCTTTCAGAGCCGCTCCTGCGCGGGCTGGAGCTCTGGGAGCTAAGCCCCGGAGGGTCGGATGCGCAGGGGCGCGCGGACCGCGCGGCGCAGCATGCATGGGTAACGCGCTTTGGACAGCCGACGCCATCCCGCCCGGGGTGATGAAATGATCCGCGCAGCGTGCCTTGCCGGCGCCGCCAGGAAGAGCGGCCGCGTCGGGGGCGACGATCGACCCGTTGAGCATCGGGGTCCACATGGCCAGACAGGGCGTGCCGGGCGGCATCTGGCACGACTGCAAGTGCACGCCCAAGTCCTTCAAGAGCTCCAGATTGCCCCCTTGCGCCCAAGCCCGCCGCGGGCATGTCGGCCTATCCCAAGAAACCCGCTCGCCGCCTGGAGTCGACTCGCATGGCCGCCGCTCTGTCTGCTCCCCAGTTCTTGAGTTTGAGCTCTTCAATGGCGCCACTCGCCACTCGCGACCTGGCGTGCAACATCGCCCCCGTCATGGCCAAAACAGGTGTTGTCAGCTAATGGTCACCAGTTGTCGCCGCCGAAGCGAAGGCTTTCCTGTGGCCCCTCTGGAGGGCCCAGTAGTTGGAGACCGTTCTCTCTCTGATGGCCTCGGGTCGTGTCTCGCGGGCGCTCCAGGCTCGACTGCGCGAGGTTCCTCGGCCCTCTCGCCGCCCTGCGCCGCCCTGAAATTTCGCCCCAATGTTGGGCTTGAGCGCGATGCGTCTCCAAACGGCGGGCCCTCGCGGGCCCTTGGTTTGGTTTGCCGACCTCTGGCGCACCGAGCCCGGTCGGGCGCAGCTGGCGGGGCGCCGCGGCGGCGGCGCTGGCGGTGCGCCGCGGCGGCGGCGTCCAGGGGGGGGGGGGAGCTCGGCGCGTCCGTTGCCGTAGTCGAGCGGTTCTTCGGCGCGGGCCCGGGGCCCGTAGTTCGGGCGCGGCGAATGAACCAGCGGGCCCATTCGTACTGATTGCCAGACGTCGATGCAACTCCAGCTCATAGGCCCCCCGGCCAGACTCCCCCTGGAACTCCGAGAACCACCTCTGAAATCGACCTCTGGCCTTGGGACGTTCGCCCCAAGCTGGCGCGCGCAAATCTCGTGCCAGAGCCTGACGGGCCTGGCTCTAACTGTCGGCATGTTGCAGCGCGGCCCCCCGACCATGTCCGCAGTCAGCCGTGCAGAAGCTGGCGGGGGACATCCGCGCGCAGAGCTCTCCCCGCACCTGACTGGCTTCGTTCTCGCAATCATGCGCGGGGTCTGGCACCGTCCGAGAACCTGGGGGGCTTCGGGGCGCGTGCCAGACCTGGCGTTCGGCGCTGGCTTCAGCCTCTCGCCCTTGCGTGGCTGCCAGGTTGAAATGCTGCATCTCCTGCCTGTCGGGCTCCTCATGTCTCTCGCGGAGTCGGGCGAAGCCCTGATGGGGCGCCCGGCGGCCAGTCCTGCTTCCCCCCAAGCAGCGTCGCAAAATTCGACCGCCACCGCTCTCCTCGTTGTCCTTCCAGCCAACCTCTGTCTGCCGGCTCGAAATGGAGTGCGCGACAGAAATTGGGGTGCGACGTGTAGTTGCGAGCGCGCCACTCACGCCGCTCCATCCAATCCCTTTCGGCGAGAAGCCCGCCGCGGTGACGCGCGTCGGGCGCGCGCCAGGAGGGCGCCGCAGAACGGGGGTTCTGGCGCACCGCGCTCCTGCCCCGACGCCCGAGTCACCTGGCTCCCTCCTTGCCAGAAGGAGCCTTGGAACCCGTGTCGTTGTCCAGTTGTCCAGCAAATCTGTCGGCGACAGATGCCCCCTCCCGTGGTCGGCGCCCTTTGCCGCTCCATCGCGGCGAACGGCGCGAGCCTCAGGAGGCTCTCGGCAAAACGCGGCGACGAACAGACATCGGGACGACGGAAATTGACAGCATGCCCCAGAGGTGCGAGTCGACGGAGCCACTGCCATCCAGGCGTCATCGAAGTACGCGTAACTAGTGGTCCCTTCTTGGCTCTTCTCCCAGTCCAAGTCGCTGGCGCGGAACTTGTCGTCCGCGATCCAATCGCGCCTCCTGTCCCACTCGTGGAAAACGGAGCCGGGCTGGTCGCTCTCGGTGTTCGGGGCCTCGGAGTCGCCCTGTGCTCCGCCGCGCCTCGAGCCAATTCTCGGCGAAGCGCGCGCGCCCCGCCCCCCGCGGGCCAACGCGGCTAATGGACGAAGTAGCTGCCATGGAGTGGTCAGGCCTTGAACTGGTTATGGTTCCGAGTCTGTTCGCCTGAATGGACCTGGTTCTCCACGTCGCCCTCGTTGACCTTGTCCCAGCCGTAGTTGTTATCGTAGAAGAGGTGGCCCTCGATACTCGGAGAGACGTCGAAGGTGCCCGCTTCGGAGGACGATTGGCGCGTCCCACTCCCAGTGAGACAATGCTGCTCTTGGAAAAAAGATCTGTTCCCGCATCCTGCACCCAGAAGGCCAATGCAGCTCGTGGAAGCACGGCGAAACAAGCCTCCCACCCCCAGCGGGCCAATGCTGCTCGTGGAAAAACTGGCTACATTGCGTCATCCAGTCGTTCCTCGGGGCTTCTGGTGCATCCGCGTGAATGGAGGGCTCGTCGTCATATCCCTGCTCTCTGCAATTCCTTTTCTCGCGGTGAGCACGCCCCTGAATTGCCGTCAAGTTTGAGGCTCGGCCGTGCAAGGGCCCATGGCGTTCCTGGCCACGAATGCTATCCACCAGAAATAGGCTTGCCTGAATCCACGCCAGCACTGGCAAGCTTGGCCATTTCATCGGCCACCACCGAAGACTAGTTCCCCTGCGAATTGGGCTTGGTAGCTGCTGCCTTTGGTGCTACTCCTCCTGCAGCAGGGCCTTGTTCAGCACTTGTGGTTTGGCAGCCTGCTTGGGTTTCTCTGCCGGGATGGGCGCCAGCTGAGTTTCTGGCCCCGCGCCGCTGGCCGCTCCAGAAATCGCCGCTGAGGTGCCTGGAATCGCGGACGCTGCGCCCTAGCATCTCCTGGCGCTGACCCATCCGCAGATGTTTCACGGGAAAATCTGTACCTTTGACCCTCTCCTGGTGAACGCTCCTGGTGAACGTTTCTGCTGTGGACGCCAGGGCCACCACTTAGCTTCAGGAGCAGGTGAGCGACCACGGCTGGTTCCACGAAGCTCACGGGCCGTCGCAGTCGTCGTGACGGCGCCGCGGCAGTGCTTGCACCATCGCCACCACGAAAGGTTCTTCACACAGCCACAGGCCGAACATGTGATGAACTCTTGTGCGCTCGAGCTTGTGCTGGACATCCACAGAGAGGGCTGCAATGTAGGAGTGACGACTGCACCGAACGAGGTACCAGAGAAGGGCCCGCGCCCGCGCAAGGCTCCGCGAGGGGATCGTGAAGGGTACATCTTGCTGACAGGGCGGCTCGCCTCGAGCCAGCCCTGTAGCTGCCGGCAAGTATGACGCTGCAGATCGCTGGTTTCATACTCGAGCCAAAAGTGGCTACGAACGCTCCTCCTCACACCACCACCACCACCTCGGCGTCGACGTCCTCCTCCTCCTCCTCCTCCTCCTCCTCCTCCTCCTCCTCCTCGCCTCGCCTCGCTCCTCACTCCTCCTCCTCCTCCTCCTCCTCCTCCTCCTCCTCCTCCTCCTCCTCCTCCTCCTCCTCCTCCTCCTGCTCACTCCTCCTCTCCCCCCTCCCTCCCTTCCTCCCTCCTTCTCCCTCCTCCCTCCTTCCCCCCGCCATGGCGTACTGGGGGCGTCTGTGCCGAGTGCGGGGCGGTTGCGCTCCAGCCCGGGCGCGCACGCCCTGAACGAGCCTCTGGGATAGCAAGACTGCCCCCACGCCTTCTCAAACCGCCCCCTCCTCCTCGTCGCCTCGGCCCACCCGCCCGCCTCGGAGGGCTTCTTCCGTGCGATCAGCATGGTCACCTGTCGGCCCGGCGCGGGCGACTGGCGGCGGGCGGGGAACCGCTGGGGCGAGCGGCCCGGGGACCGAGGGAAGGGGCGAGATGGGGGCCCGCAGGTCACGGCCGGGCTCCCGTGCTCGGCCCTGGGGCGGGCCAGGGGACTCTGCGACAAGGGGAAGGGCTGGGCCCGGACATCTGGGGAGATTCCTCTGCGCCGGCCACGATCTCGGACCCAGGTCAGAAGAGCATCCTTCAGGAGCATGAGACCCCCCGTCGGCCAAAAACAAACGAAACATCCAAGGGTCCCCCCCCCCCAAGGGTGCGCAAGTGCGTCCCGCAGGCACGAAGAGCATCGGGGCACCCTCCCCGAGCCGACCTCGACCCGATACCTTGGCCCGGCTGCAGTCATCACCTCCCTCGTGGCCGCCTCCGAAACGTTCAGGTCCTTCTGCCCTGGGCTCCCCCAGCGCATCCACAGCTTCGTCGCTTCCACTCCCGCAAGCCCGGCAGGCCACCCACGGCTCCGCGCCCCACGCCTCGCGCGGCGGCGCGGCCAGCTCTCTGCGCCCTCGCGCGACCACCCGGGAATGGGGGGGGGCAGCCCTCTGGCCGGGGGCCGCGAGACGCGGAGGGCGCCTCTGCTCCTTCGCGCAACTGCGCCCTGCGGTGACGGGGGGCAGGCTCGCAGGGGGGAGACATCGAGCCTGCATCGGCGGCACATCGCCGGTAGATCGGCGGCAGGCTCTCGATAGCGAGTCCGCACGGTCCTGGGTGGGTGGTGGCGGGCTGCCAGGCCCCCGGGCTCTTTCGACGCCAACCCGGGGACGACTGGCCTGTCGTCCCGAATCGTCCCTTGCGACGGCCCCTGGGGCCCGAGGCGGACCTGCGGAGAACGTAGGAGAAGCCCGACGCCACGGCCTTTCCTTTGGACGCCAAGAATGGGTACGGAAAATACAATGCCCAACAGCAAATGTTGTCCCAACCAGCAGCGGCCGCTGCTGGGTAGGCTGCCTTCTGTTCAAAATGGACACAGGCCGCGGCGGCGCGGACAGCGAGTCCCGTTCAGAATGAACAGGAACTGCTGTTGGGCATTGTACCGAGTCTTTCCGTACCCATTTCGTTCGTGCCGATTTCCAGAGGCCCGCTGTTCTGCGGCCTCTCGGGCTCCCGACGAGCGAGCGGGAGATAGGCGCGACGGGGGGCGGCGGCGACCACGAACTCCGAGAGCTCCGCCCTGGTCTCCTCGCGCGCCATGGGAGGGGGGGAAATGGGAGCGCCCCCACCCACCCCGCCTCCTCCTCGGCCACTCTCAAAAGAAACCTTGGGCAATGATCCTGATACATATATATATATATATAGATATAAATTATACATTGTATCAATTACACCACAGAAAAACCTCAATCAGTGGATGGTTTTCGCTCAGAAGATCGACCAAGAACCCCGGAGCCCCGGAACCCACAACCCACCGAAATCGGCCCCGAACCAATAGCCGGGAACCCGGGAACCCGGGAACCCGGGAACCCAGCCTGCTACGGTATACCAAAATCGGCGGGGAACTTCCGCCAAATCTTTCAACTTCCGCTAGGGCCCCTTCAGTGCAAACGCTGATTGGGGAATACACGCGGTATTTCAGATAATGAACAGAAAACCATAGGAATCATCACAAGAAAATGACGTTACAAATCCCAGACACTTCCCTCGGGCGCGCGTCCTGCCAAGCGCCGTGTGCCGTGCGGCAGTGGCGGCCCGCATGCTCGGGCTTGGCCCCCCCCCCCCCCCCGCGCCCCCCGGACGGCCGCGCACCCGAGGTCTCTCTCTCTCTCTCTCTCTGGCGGATGGTATCCGCCGCCAACCTCTCGGCCCTCCTCCCCCTCCCGGAGGAGGAGGAGGGGGAGGGATGAGGAGGAGGAGGAGGAGGAGGAGGAGGAGGAGGAGGAGGAGGAGGAGGAGGAGGAGGAGGAGGAGGAGGAGGAGGAGGAGGAGGAGAGGAGGAGGAGGATGAGAAGGAGGAGGATGAGGAGGAGGAGGAGGAGGAGGAGGAGGAGGAGGAATGAGGAGGATGAGGAGAAGAGGGAGGGAGGAGGAGGAGGAGGAGGATGAGGAGGAAGAGGGGGAGGGAGGAGGGAGGAGCAGGGTGCTGCAGGCCAGGACTCTGGGCAGGCCCGGCGGGAGGCCCCAGCCAGCGCCTCCTCCGCCTCCTCCGCCACCAACGGCCTCGCGTTCTCCTCCTCCTCCTCCTCCTTCTTCTGCTGCGTCAAGTTCGCGTCGTGCCGACTTTGGCGTCGGTTTCCGACACCGCGGGGATCGTTCGACCTGGAACCATCGGCCGTGTCCGAAACGCCCAAATCGTTCCACATCGAACGATTCCGGGTCGCCGTTCAACGTTGAACGTCGCTGGCGGGGTCGCCGCCGGTCGACACGACACGAACCTACCGTACTCCTTGCCCGCTCCCGTCTCCCGTCTCCCGTCTCCCGTCTCCTCCTCCTCCTCCTCCTCCTCCTCCTCCTCCTTCTCCTCCTTCTTCTCCTCCTCCTCCTCCCCCTCCCCTGCTGCCGCCCCCCCCTCCCCACCTCCTCCTGGGACGCGGAAGGGACACAGGGGCGGGGGCGGGGGATGCCCAGATGGGCCCTATCAATCCCCCGCAGCGCCGTCGGGGGGGCGGTCTCGACGCCCACGGCCCAGCGGCGCGAATCGCCGCCAAGTGCACCGCCCTGGGTGCCGCGATCGCCCCGGACGTCCCTGTCACCGCCTGGGGAGACAGAGAGGGGGAGAGGGAGAGAGAGAGAGAGAGAGAGAGAGAGATAGAGAGAGGGAGAAAAGGAGAGACAGAGAGAGACAGCACCCACTGACGGGCAGATCCCGGCCCAGCGCGGGGCGTGGGTGGATGGCACCGCTGTGCCCCGCGTGTGCACCCACACGTTGGCCTTCATGACGTTGCAGAACAGATATGCCCAGACATCTGGTGAATCGTTTTTTGGAGGCACGGGCGCCCGATCTCTGGACCAATTCCCTGGGACCGGTTCTCCCTCTCGAGCCGTTTTCTGACGGCCCCGAAGCCCCGCAAGGGCCCCGAAAGGCCGAAAATGATGAAAGCCCTCCGTCTCGATTTCTTGGAGACGCTGGAAAGGAAGGGCCTCGAACGGTGATGTGGGTGATGGCAGTGGAGAGGCGGCGCAGGCGAGGGGGTGTAGGAAGAGGAGGGGGGGAGGAGGGGACGAAGGAGGGGGGGGGGCAGGGACGAAGTTGAGGATGAGGATGAGGATGAGGAGGGGGGGGAGGAGGGGGAGGAGGGGGGGGGTAAGGGTAAGGGTACATGCGCCGAAGCGCGGCCGACAGGCCGACGGACGACTGGTTCTGCTGCGCACTGTCAAACGATCGATGGGGGTGGCCCTCGCCGCCTCGCCCATCTTAAAATAGCTTTCGCTGGACCTTCCTCGTCCATCTGCCTTGGAGGGCACTGGCAAGGGGCTGGCGCCGGGGCCGCCTCAGCAGGCCTCTAGCCCACGAGCTCCGCCTCCTCGGAGACTATGTCGGAGGCGTCGGCAGCCTGGGTGCGGGCCGCCTCGCGGCCGACACGGCGGACCTCCTCGAGGTCGTCCTCCGTGAGCCCGTAGCAGCGGAGCAGGAAGAGACGCGCCGCCCTCGGCTCGGGCCGCCTGCCCTGGGGCCCTGGCGCATCCGCCGGCGTGGCGGGAAGGCGCTCGTCGCCAGCAGCAGCGCGACGCCCGCCGCTCGCTGCCGCGGGCAGGTCCCCTTCCAGCTGGAGGTCGCCTGCGAGCTGCAGCTGCTCCTCGGGCCCTAGGGCAAAGGGCCCCTCGAGCGCTCCACCTTGTCTCCCCTTGCCGTAGTGGGGCCAGCGCAACAGGCGCACCAGCCGTAGCTGCTCTTTGCCTGCGCTGGACTCCCGCCCTCGGCACAAGTTCTTGAGCAGCTTGCCGGGCTTGCGGCCCGCCAAAACCCCGCCGCACCGCAGGCAGAACACGAAGCGCATCTGGGGGTTTTCCGCCACTCGGCAGCGCAGGAGAGCGTGCCCTCTAGCCCTCCACGCGTGCCTGGCCAGGACCTGGTCGTCGAGGCCAAAGTGCAGCTCCACGTGCCCTGGGACGCGTCCCTCCTGGCTTTGGGGACTGGCAGCCGCGCCTCCGGCTGGGCCTGCAGGGCCCGTGTCGCCGACCGGCCCGCTGCCCTCGCATGCATTCTCGGGGGGCTGCTCCTTTGCAAGGGCCATCTCCTCGCTGAAGTCGTCGACGCCGAAGCCGAAGGCGTCTGAGCCCTGGGAGGCTGCCCCATGCTTGGTATCAACTGGGGCCGCCGCCGCTTCCGGCGCGAGCGGCACGCCCCACCTGGACGGGCCTGCCACCGCCCCTGGGGCTGGGGCAAAAGGAGTGCCTCCCGCAGCCGAGGGGGGAACGGCATCCCCCGGAGCTGCAGCAGCAGCCGCCACTGCCTCCTCCTTTTCATCTCCTCTTGCCGCCTCCTCGTCCTCTTGCCTAGGCCGCTCTTCCCGACCGGCCTCCGCCTGGCTCTCCCTGACGGGAGCTTCACGCACGACGTCGCCGTCCGCGGCGGCTGCAGGGGCAGCGCCCTCGCTGAGTTGGGCGTGTCCGTGGAGCACATCCTCATGCCGCGGCCCCCCATCTTGGGCAGGCCCCCCCCCCTTTCACGCCCCCCTTCAGAAGGGGGGGCAGAAATGGTACCAAAATTGCCCCCATTTTACGTGGGACAGGGGAGCATCGGCATAGCGCCAGCATGAGTAGCAGCCTCGGCAGGCCTCTCATCGCCACGCGACTGGGACACGCTAGCTTGCACTTGGGAGCATGAGTAGGTTAGCTCCCCAGCTCCAGACATTATCCGTCATGATATGTGCGTTCTGCCCCCCTGGCCGCGTGGGCTGATTGCGCCCCGGGCGACCCCGAGGGACCGTTTTGAGTGATTTGTTTTGCGTCCTCGCCGGCAAAAATATGGAGGCGGCGTCGCCTTGTAGAGTGACGGACAGGACGGCGCCGCGCAACACGGCAACGAAAATGTCACGAATTTCGGTATGCCGGGGAGGGGGAAACGTAACGAATTTCCCCCCCCCCGCTGGGTAGCAGAAAAACTTTACCGTTGACGCTACCCCTTTCTAGACCCACCTGGACGACAGCAGGCCCCCCAAATACACCAAATAGGACCCAGCTGGGGCCCAGCCGGTCCCCCCAAGCGGCCACAAGGTGGTGTCTGCACTTTGGGCCATCCGCAGACACCACCCAGTGGCGCCGTGAAACGCCCAAGCTAACCCTAACGGGCGCCATATGGACGGCAGCGGGCCCCAACACGCTGCCTTTTGGGCGCTCCACCACACCTCTCCCCCATGCCCCTCGCCCCTTGCGGGGTGTCCGGGAGGGGTCCCAGAGAGGGTGGACGGTTGGGGGCCCCCCGGTCCTCGTGGTCCAGTCGCTGCCCGTCCCCCAGCTCGGCCTCCAGGGTGGCGCTCCAGCGGCATGCCTCCTTCGCCAGCTCCCGCAGCCCTCGCCATAGGGCCTCGTCTGGCTCGCCGAGCGCATGCCTGGCGGCGCCCCGCTTGGCGAAGGAGTCGGCGTGGTCGTTGGCCCGCCGCTCCCAGTGCGTGCTGCGGCCCGCGTCGATGTCGCCGCTTGATGCATGACCCAGCGTCTTGTGGGCCTCGAAGTCGCCCTCCGTGAAGGAGGCCCAGAATGGCCCCCAGAGGTGGGGGCGCGGGTCCACCCCACGAGTACCGGCGCCAGCGCCGCCTCCGAGGGTGCGCAGTGTGTTGGCGCGAGGTACAGCTGGAAGGGCGCCATCGCCACCTGCGACAGCATGTGGACCGCGTAATCCTCTGCGTCGGGAGCAGTTTGGTTGGGCGCGTCCGACAAGGGCACTGGGCCGTACGCAGCCGCCTCCAGGTGGCCGAAACGGTCGACTTGGACCACCGACCAGCCGGCATGCTCGAGCCCTGGGAGGGACCCAGCAAAGGCGCTCCCGTCCAGGAAGAGGCACCCCGTGAGCAGCCCTGTGCTAGGTCTGTTTACCCAGCAGATGTCCCCCTTCCTGCCCACCCGTTCGAACAGGCAGCTGGGGCTGGGGAAGAGCCCGCGGCAGAACCGCTCCGCCGCCTCCAGGCTCCACCTCCTCACCCGGGCAGCTCGGGCCCGCAGGCTGACCGACGCGCCCTCTCGGCGGCGGGCTGCGTGGCAGGGGCTCTCGTAGTGCCTGTGGAAGAGGCTGCCCAGCTGCTCGCCACACAGCTGGCACCGCGCGGTGCTGACCAGGCCATGTGCGAAGAGACGCGCCTGCGGCCAGTGGACGTTCGTGACCAGGGCCTTCAGTGCACCCTGGTGCCGCTTGCTCCATCCTGGGGTCGCATTGTGGAGGAGCGCGTGTAGCGGCTCCCAGAAGATGGGCCCGCTTGGCAGGCCCACTACTCCTCTGGCCAGAGTCTTGCCCGTGGCCTGGAGCGCTAGCTTGTCCGAGGAGGGGGAGGGGGGGACGAAGGAGGGGGGTGGGGGACAGGGACGAAGTTGAGGATGAGGAGGAGGATCACGCTGGGTGGTCACGCTGCGCGCAGCACGTGACTTTCTCGGCCCCGGCCGGTGGGCGCGCGGGCTAGGTTCAGGTCGGGCATGTCCTCCTGCAGGCGGAGTTTGGAAAAAATAGGAATCGTCAAACAAGGATCAAAACTAGTTACTCTAAAGAGCACAAAACATCATCCCCAGACAACAATCATCGGCCTGACCCAAGGAACGATGAATCAAGAACGAAACCCTTTTCCTAAGGAGTAACGCATAAGGAACGACCGATTATACATAACGCATAAGGAGCGGCAAACAACGCATGCGAACCTAAGGAACGACGAGCCCCTTTTGAAAAGCAAGTGCTCCTTATTCAAGCCGCTCGCTGTACTTAAACAAACAATCTACATGCTCCTCCTGTAGAGGGACGTGCCCGACTTCAGGCCAGGTGCGCGAGCAGGCACCCGCGAGAGCCACTGAGGCCGAGCCCTGCGCGCCCTCCCCCGCGGGGGTCCTTGTCCGTCGGGTCGAGGCCCGGGGTCTGCGCCAAGCGCCTGGCGGAAGAGGGGGCCCAGACTCACGCTGTCCCCATCGCACTCAAGGACCACATCCCAAAAGTGATCTCGAGCACCCAGAAAAATATTGAAACAGTGTCGACTGAGTATCGCCTCCTAGGGCCCGACATGTGAAAACCCTTCAGATTTGATGCCTTCTTGGTGCTCAGAATTCTCTCTGGTGATCAAGGCTAAAGTAGGTTGGAACATCATAAGCCCATGTCCCCTCGCAATGGAAGGTTGCAGTCGGAGCCGACCACAAGAAACCTCCCACAAGACGCCCAACCCTGAGACCCCATGATGTCCATTGATTGTTGGTGTGGGAACGTCACGCTTTCCATAGCAAACCCCTCGGAACCCCAAAAGCCCAGGGCACCCTGGAGGCAAGCAGGATGTTTCTTGGCATGGGGCCCCAGTGTACTCGCTATCTTCGGCCTCTGGGGGCCCTTCCCTAGAGGCCTCATAGATGAGGTCCGAATAGATGGGGTCGCGTCGGCGATGTGTTGCCGACGTCGGCAATGCATCGGCGACGTCGTCGTGGGGAAACGCGGTCTCCACATCGAGCCGCATCGTCGATGCATCGGCGATGCGGCGCGGTCCTCCGACCCCGTCTACTTGGACCCCGTCTGGGAGGCCTAGGACATCCCTTCACAACGGGAAATTGCTCACTATCTTCGGCCTCTGGGGGCCCTTGACCGAGCCTCGGGAACGTCAATACACAACTTGGGAGGGCGAGCCGGCCCCCGGGACTGGGTCGAGACCCTCGGGGGATCGACGCTGCGACGAGATCGTGACGTCGGGGGTCCGGGGACGATGCGCGCAGCCCAGGCATGCTCGCGTCGCGCAAGAAACAAGAACGCCACGGAAGGCTTTGTCGGGGATCGGCGGTGGACAAACCTCCCTTTAGCAAACCTCCCCTTTGTGAAAACGGCCTGGGACCGAAACCGACGGACCTGGACCCGCAAAAATGACGGCCGCGGCGCCCTCTCGCGAACCGAAAACGGCAAATTCCTTAATCGACGTGTCAGGGTAGGAGGTCTATCCACCTCCGACGCAATGACAGAAACTTCTTTTTTCCCGTCGGCGGCGAGGCGGGCCAACCCGCTCCAGCGTGGCAGCAGAGCCAGGGGCACGCCTAGGCCCCAGCATGGAGTGCACGCCCTCCTGGCCGAGACCGGGAGGGTCTGCCACACCGTCCTGGGCCCCCCAGGGCCAAGGCATCCACTGATACTGATGGGCCAATGTTACACCACCACTACCTCAGGTAGGAGAGGGAGGAGGAGGAGGAGGAGGAGGAGGAGGAGGAGGAGGAAGAAGAGGAGGAGGAGGAGGAGTAGGGAGGAGGAGGGAGGAGGAGGAGGAGAAGGAGGAGGAGGAGGAGGAGGAGGAGCCTACCTGTGGTAGCGGTGGTGGACAATTGACCCACAAGATACGATTCTTTCAGTCGGGGCCCTCAGATCTCCCGGCCCCTCCCCCAGGGGTCCTCTTGGGTGGCCTGGGTCTGCTTCCGCGGTGGCCTGGGTCCCGAGAGCGGGCCCCCGGGGCCGAACCCGAGGAAGCACGCCAGGACGAAAGCGATGAGACCGTCGGAGATCTGGGGACGGCCCTGGCCAGGCATGGTTGACGGGTAACGACAGGGGGGGACTGGCATAGGGGGGGGGCGCATAGACCTGGAATCGGCGACACGTCGCCGATAGGTCGACCATGGGCCCCCGCAGTAGTGAATCCGCACCCTCCTGGGCAGGGTTGGGGCAGTCGGGCCCCTGCTGGCGATCAGTGGGCGATTGGGGCTCGGTGCGCCCCTCCCCCCTGTATGCCTATCTTCATGTCGGGCGTGTCCCCCTACAGGGGGATTTTCAACGAAACATGAAACATACCCCCAAATACCCCCCACAGGGTCAAAACATACTCAAAACATAGTCCCCAGACTACTGTTGGACTAAGATTATGTTTGAAGATTCCCCCTGTAGAGGGACAGGCCCGACTTGTGCCTAATTATCTCCCCCTGCCCCTGCCGCCGAGTGGTGGTGCTGCGTGCACGGGGCGCCGCCCCGTGCGGAGGCGAGAGGCGGAGGCCGGAGCACGAGGAGGGGGGGGCGAGGCCGGCGGAGGCGGAGGGGCCGCCGGCCTGCGGCGCAGGCGTCGTGCCACCCGCAGGTCGGGCGTGTCCCCGCCCACAGGCGGGCGCAGGTCGGGCGTGTCCCCGCCCACAGGCGGGCTCTGGACGGAAGGAATTTTCAGCATAGCCAACATCTGTTCCGCAGTTGTCAAAATAGTAGGAAGCCCGTCCCCCAAAAGCGCCCCCCAAGGGGCCCTGGGGGCCCCCAAGGCGCCGCCAAGAAGCCCCAAGAGACTCCCAAGAGGTCCCCAAGAGGCCCCCAAGAGGCCCTAGAGAGGGCTCCAGGGCCGGCGGAATGAGCGAAGCGATTAGATAATAGGAAACCCGTCTCCAGATTACTTTTTTGAATCATTTTAAACTATTCCTCCTCTAGAGGGACATGCCCGACTTACATCTGAGGAGCGGCTCAGGAAGCAGAGGCTGACCGGAAGCAGAGGCCGCTTCATAGCCCAACGTGATCCTCGCTTCGCCGCCTTGCCTGGCAGGGCTTTCCAGAACCGGGAGGGCTGCCGAGAATGTCCCCGCCTTCGGAGCTCCCCCCCCACGCCCCCAGCTTAGCTGCCCCGGTACGCAACACGCAGCGTGTTGATACGGAGCTCAACACGTGGACTGAAAACGTAGGTCCGATGCGATACTTTTGCCAAAACGTGGTCCAATACGTGGAGCCAACACGCAACGTATCGACACGGACGTCTTGAACACGGGACGTGTTGCGTTTCAAAACGGGCGTATCGAGGCAACTAAGGCCCCCAGACGTCCGGCGATATGATCTTCTCCGGGCCCCGAGACCTGCCGGCCCCCCTCGGGGGCCAGGCCCCGACACCTGCCGGCCCCCTCGGGGGCCCTCAGAACTGTAGCTCTTCTGCAGTCTGTCGGCCTCTGGGTGGGACGGAGCTCTTCTTGGTAGGCTCCGGCCCTCAACTTGGCCTTGGGACCGTCAAGCAAGACTCAGGGCGAACAACGTCTGCGACGGCGACTGCGACCCGCATTGCGCACCGTGAAGCTGCCGCGGGTTGGGGCCGAAGCACCCATTGCAGCTCAAAGCGCCTGGCGAAAATCGTGCCCTAGGGCGTTCCATGCGTCTTGCGTGGCCCACCTCAACGGCAGGTGAACAATATCTCGCGCCTCACGGCCGTTTGCAACAACTTTCTGCTCTCCCGTCAGGGACCTGCTGACCCGGGTCAGTCAGGCCCGGGTCAGCAGGAAACCAAACAACTGCAGTGCAAGAACAGAGAAATTGCAACGCAAGGCTTCGCACACTCGGGTCAGCCAACGTGCGCGACCGCCTCGCGGCCGCGAGCTGCTCGCTAACCCGGTTCAGCCAGGAGGGGGTCTTCGCAAGATCCTGCAGGATCCGGTGCCCTGGCTGACCCCCGTTTGCGTTGACCCCCGTCTCAAGCTTAGGTCGGGCGTGTCCCCCTACAGTCGTATTTTGGACGGAAAATAAAACAGACCCCAACAATATTCGAAAACAACGAAAATGGTACAAAATTATCCCAAGACCATCTTGTGACTATTTTTGAATATTCCTCCTGTAGAGGGACAGGCCCGACTTCATCTTAAGCTTCGATCCCCGGGCGAAAACCGCCCCGGGGAAGTGGCCCAGCGCCTGGCAAGGCTCGTGCTCCAGGGCGTTCCATGCATCGTGCGTGGCCCACCTCAACAGCAGGCGAACAACATCTCGCGCCTCACGGCCGTTTGCAGCAGCCTTCTGCTCTCCCGGACACGGTTTCGGTGGCAGGCCGAGCGGTGACCTCGCAGTCCCTCAAGACCTCACCGCACGGTCCGCCAACGCACTCTTTTGGGACCCCGGAGGCCCCAGTCGCCCGAGACGTCCTCGAAGCACGACCCGAGTCCCAAGACCGTGCGGCGACCCCGAGTCCCCAGCGACTCACCACTCGGCGAGGGACAAACCTCCCTTTAGTAGAGCTCCCCTTAGTGAAAACGGCCTGGGACCGAAACCGACGGACCTGGACCCGCAGAAGTGACGGCCGCGGCGCCCTCTCGCGAACCGAAAACGGCCAATTCCTTAATCGACGTGTCAGGGTAGGAGGTCTGGCCATCCCCGAGCCACACGGTGTGGTCACCACCCCGTTTGGGGGCCCCCGAGCTCCTCCGGAGCGAGAGCCGTGCCCCGTTTGGGAGGTGGCCCAGAGCTCGGGGGCCCGTGCCCCGAGCAGCTCGCGGCGCCGCACGCCTGGGCTGCCTCGCCCTCGGCCTGGGTCGGGCGTGTCCCCCTACAGGCGGATCTCGGAGGGAAGCCCAAAACTACAGGCGGATCTTGGAGGACAAATCAAGAAGTCACAGACATATTCAAGAGTACCCCCCAAAAAATCAAGAGTCGTCCCCCGACTCTTTTTTTTGTTGTTGAGCTACGTTTGAACACTCCTCCTGTAGAGGGACAGGCCCGACTTACCTCTCCGCCTCCCCTGGGGCCCCCTGCCCGGGCCCCCCCCCCGCTCTCTGCTGGGGGTCGAAGAGCCGGAGGCCTCCCCCCGCTGGGGTCCGAGCAGGTGGTGTCGGAGGATCGCCACCCTCGCTGCCTCTGGAGGTCGGCAAGGGGTGTGGCAGGAAGGGGTACTGTTATGTCGGGCGTGTCCCCCTACAGGGGGATTTTCAACGAAAAATGAAAAATACCCCCAAAAATGCACCAAAAAGGTCAAGAAATACTCAAAAAATAGTCCCCAGACTATTTTTGGACTATTTTTGAATCTTTGAATATCCCCCCTGTCGGGGCGTTGGCCCAAGGAACCCTAAATAAGGAACGAGGCCCCCTCACCTGGCCCCCACCTGGCCCCGACACTCCCAGGCCTCTGAGCTCTGTTCTTGGGACCCTTGACGCCACGATTTCTCGCCCGATAACGACCAACGCCCCCCACCT